AATAATAATAATAATAATAATAATAATAATAATAATAATAATAATAATAATAAATATATCATAAATCTATAATAATAATCGCAAGGACCCACAATAATAAATATAATAATTATAATATATCCTAAATCTATAATAATAATAATTATTTATTTATTTATTTATTTATTTACTGCACTTGTAGACCGCCGTTCTCAGCCCTAGGGCGACTCACGGCGGTGTACAACATATAAAAACAGGTACAATTTGCAACATAAGCAATATCACAAACAACAATAAACAACATCACTATCAATAATACAATTACACTAAATCATTCGTGACGTCTTATCATTGAATCACAATCCAAATCTCGTTATCCATGTTCCGTTCCAATCATCATTGCCAATTGTTGCAGCATTTACTCAAACGCCTTCTCAAACAACCACGTCTTTAGTCTCTTGCGGAATGTCATAAGGGAGGGCGCCAGTCTGATGTCCACAGGGAGGGTGTTCCACAGCCGGGGGGCCACCACCGAGAAGGCCCTGTCCCTCGTCCCCGCCAGGCGTGCCTGTGAGGCAGGCGGGATCGAGAGAAGGGCCTCCCCGGAATCTCAAAGTCCTCGTGGGCTCATAGGCCGAGATGCGGTCAGACAGGTATTTTGGGCCGGAACCGTTTAGGGCTTTGTAGGCCAACACCAGCACCTTGAATTGGGCCCGGTAGCAGATCGGCAGCCAGTGGAGCTGGTACAACAAGGGTGTTGTATGCTCCCTGCGTCCCGCTCCTGTTAGTAACATGGCTGCCGCGCGCTGGACTAGCTGGAGCTTCCGGGCCGTCTTCAAGGGCAGCCCCACGTAGAGAGCGTTGCAGTAGTCAAGGCGGGATGTGACCAGAGCGTGTACTACCGTGGCCAAGTCAGACTTCCCGAGGTACGGGCACAGCTGGCGCACGAGCCTGAGCTGTGCAAATGCTCCCCTGGTCACCGCTGGAACCTGGGGATCCAGGCTCAACGATGAATCCAGGATCACACCCAAGCTGCGAACCTGCCCAGCTCTTTAAGCCCCATCCAGCACAGGCTGTAACCCTATATACCGTTCGGCCTTGCGACTGACCAGGAGTACCTCTGTCTTGTCTGGATTCAATTTCAATTTGTTCGCCCTCATCCAGACCGTCACAGCGGCCAGGCACCGGTTCAGGACCTCGACAGCCTCCTTAGTAGCAGGTGGAAAGGAGTGACAGAGTTGGACATCATCTGCGTACAGATGACACCGCACCCCGAAACTCTGGATGATCTCACCCAGCGGCTTCATGTAGATATTAAACAGCATGGGGGACAGTATAGAGCCCTGTGGAACCCCACAAGTCAAAGGCTGTGGCGTTGAACAGGTGTCCCCCAATAACACCTTCTGGGTGCGACCCTCCAGAAATGACCGGAGCCACTGTAGAACAGTGCCCCCGAGGCCCATCTCCGCAAGACGCCCCAGAAGGATACCGTGGTCGACGGTATCGAAGGCCGCTGAGAGGTCCAGGAGCACCAACAGGGACACACTCCCCCTGTCTAGCTCCCGGCGCAGATCATCCACTAAGGCGACCAAGACCGTCTCAGTACCATGTCCCGGTCTGAAACCAGACTGTGCCGAATCCAGATAATCCGTGTCTCTCAAGAATACCTGGAGTTGTGAGGCCACTACGCTTTCCATGACTTTGCCCAAAAAGGGGAGATTGGAAACTGGCCGAAAGTTGTCAAATCTAGTGGGATCCAGTGATGGTTTTTTCAACAGCGGTTTTATGATAGCTTGTTTTAAGCTCGCTGGAATCTTGCCTTCCCGAAGGGAGGCGTTAACCACCACCGTTACCCACTCAGCCAATCCCCCTCTGGCCTCCTTCAGAAGCCAGGATGGGCAGGGGTCTAGGATGGACGTAGTAGGCCTCATTCCTCCAAGTATCTTGTCCACATCCTCGGGCTTCACCAATTGAAACGAATCCATCAAGGATCCAGAATAATAAATATATCATAAATTATATAGTAATAATCACAAGGGCCCATAATAATAATAATAATAATAATAATAATAATAATAATAATAATAATATATCATAAATATATTATACTAAACACAAGGAACCACAATAATATAATATAAATATCATAAATCTATAATAACAATCACAAGGACCCACAGTAATAAATATAATAATAATAAAAACAATAATAAATATGTCATAAATCTATAATAATAATCACAAGGAGCCACAATAATAAATATAATAAGAATATATCATAAATATATCATAATAATCACAAGGACTCATAATAAATATAATAATAATAATAATAATAATAATAATTTAATAATCCACAATAATAATGTCCAGGAGTGTAACTACAGGGCCAGAGTAAGATAAAGGCATTGCTCCTTTCCCCTCAGTAAGGTTTTTGGAGCCTCATCCCTATTATAGAGTGGCATCTTGAGAGACTCCCTTCCCCCTGCTGTAAGTATAAAGCCTGGCAAACTAAGGGCGCTGCCCCTTCTCCAATGTGATTTTTGAATACTCTTCCCTATTATGGCATAGCACAGATATGGGCAAACTTGGGCCCTCCAGGAATTGTGGGAGTTGGAGTACAAAACACCTGGAGGGCCCAAGTATGCCCATGCCTAATATAGCTAGTGAAGTAATGCTCAAGATCCTGCAAGATCAGTGATTCTCAACCTGTGGCTCCCCAGATGTTTTGGCTTTCAACTCCCAGAAATCCAAACAGCAGGTAAACTGGGTGGGACTTCTGGGAGTTGTAGGCCAAAACACCTGGCGACCCACAGGTTGAGAACCACTGTGCAAAGTAGACTCCGCAATACATAGAGCAGTAATAATAATAATAGTAATAATAATAATTTTAAGATCTTATAGATTAGCAACTTGGTTCCCCTCTGCCTTATAGACACAACAAATTGTATCATGTCATTTGATGAAACGAACTATATATTCCATGAGGTTTTATGCTACGATACAATCATTAGTCTTGCAATTGCCACGAGATTTTTCACTCTTCTTGAAAGTGTATTTAATAATAATAATAATAATAATAATAATAATAATAATAATAATCTTTATTTATATCCTGCCACCATCTCTCCGATGGGGACTCGGGGCAGCTTACATAAGGCCAAACCCAAACAACAAATTACGACAGAGTAAAACCGAAAACACAAACAATAAGCAAATACATTTAGATAGAAGTCAAAGGCCCACAGGTCCAAACAGCATGGTCAGTTTGTGCTTCTTTTTAATCATATTATTATTATTATTATTATTATTATTATTATTATTATTATTATTATTATTATTATGTTGATAGGAAAGGATGTGCTGGTTTGGCAAGGAGGAAAAGCCACAATATCCCTAAGGGCTTGGAAAAGTTACTTTTTTGGACTACAGCTTCTAGTATTTCCAAGCCAGCATCCCTATAAGGCAGTGTTTCTCAATCTGGGAGTCGGGACCCCTGGGGGGGGGGGTCACGAGGGGGTGTCAAAGACCATCAGAAAACACAGCATTTTCTGTTGGTCATTGAAGTTCTGTGTAGGAAGTTTGGCCCAATTCTATCATTGGTGGGGTTCAGAATTCACTTAGATTGTAAGCGAACTATAAATCCCAGCAAGTACAACTTCCAAATGTCAAGGTCTATTTTCCCCAAACTAGAGTAGTATTCACATTCGGGCATATTGAGTATTTGTGCCAATTTTGGTCTAGATCCATCATTGTTTGAGTCCACAGTTATCTATCAATGTAGGTGAACTACAACTCTAAAACACAAGGTCAGTGTCCACCAAACCCTTCCAGTATTTTCTGTTGGTGATGGGAGTTCTGTGTGTCAAGTTTGGTTCAATTCCATTGTTGGTGGAGTTCAGAATGCTCTTCGATTGTAGGTGAACTATAAATCCCAGCAACTACAAATCCCAAATGTCAAGGTCTATTTTTCCCAAACTCCACCAGTGTTCACATTTGGGCATATTCAGTATTCGTGCCAATATTGGTCCAGATSCATCATTGTTCAGATTTGTGCCAAATTTGGTCCACTGAATGAAAATATATTCTYCATATCYGATATTTACATTATGATTCATAACAGTAGAAAAATTAGAGTTATGAAGTAGCAATGAAAATAATGTGATGGTTGGGATCACCACAACATGAGGAACTGTATTAAGGTGTTGCAGCATTCATAAATCRATCATAATCACAACGACCCAGAAGAATAAATATAATAATTATTATAATAATTAAAATAAAACAGAGTGTCTGCTGTGGACTCATCTTGTTATGTTTCAAATAATAATAATAATAATAATAATAATAATATAATATCATAAATCTATAATAATAATCACAAGMACCCACAACAATAATAATAATAATAATAATAATAATAATAATATCATAAATCTATAATAATAATCACAAGGACCCAAAAGAATAATAATAATAATAATAATAATAATAATAATAATAATAATAATAATAAACAGAGTGTCTGCTGTGGACTCATCCTGTTGTGCTTAAAATAATCATAATCATAATATAATATCATAGATCAATAATCATCACAAGGATCCATAATAATAATAATAATAATAATAATAATAATAATAATAATAGTAATAGAGTGTCTGCTGTGGACTCATCATGTTGTGTTTCAAATAATAATAATAATATCATAAATCAATAACAATCATCACAAGGACCCACAATAATAATAATAATAATAATAATAATAATAATAATAATAAGGATTGAGGGAAGTTACTTTTTGGACTACAGCTTCTAGTATTTCCAAGCTAGCATCCCTCTAGGCTATGCTAGCTGGGAGTTTGGACTCAAATAGTATTTTTTCCAAGTTCTGCTTTCGATCTGGAGAGATAAATTCGTGCACAAGTATTGTCCCACCCATGCCTCATAAGCCCCTCAAACCCCTTTAAGCAGATCTGCAAATGGGATATGAATCCATGCCCTGAATGATGAGGATGATGGTTTTCCAGCATCTTTTGGGCCTTGCCAAGCAGCCGCTTTCCTTTTGGCTTAATGTTTTGCAGAATGAGAGGGTTCTTCTCCGCTTTTGCAGTTTCCTCCAATGCTGTTTGGGAGACTAATGATCCATCCGAGTAAGACATCAAGAGACAGAAATGGGTTGTTTGAGCCTTGGCCAGAAAAGCTTGCAAGGCATCATTACTGGGTTCCGGAGTCCTGCCAAAAAAAGTAAAATAGCAAGGAAGATGGCCAAGCGGTCAGTGAAGCCAAAAGCAAGGGGTGCCCAGCAGACTTTGGGGAGTGGCGTTTGGCCTTCAATTGGGATGGGCAAGTTGTGCCTTCTCCAGGGGGTGTCAGAGGGGTCGCTGAAGACCATCAGAAAATGCAGTATTTTCTGTTGGTCATGGGGTTTCTGTATGGGAAGTTTGGCCCAATTCTATCGTTGATGGGGTTCAGAATGCTCTTTGATTGTAGGTGAACTACAAATCCCAGCAACTACAATTCCCAAATGTCAAGATCTATTTCTCCCAAATTACACCAGTATTCACATTTGGGCATATTGAGTATTTGTGCCAATTTTGGTCTAGATCCATCATTGTTTAAGTCCACAGTGTTCTCTAGATGTAGGTGAACTACAACTCCCAAACTCAAGGTCAATGCCCACCAAACTTTTACAGTTTTTACTGTTGGTCATTGAAGTTCTTAATGCTAAGTTTGACCTTAAGTTTTAGAGTTGTGGTTCACCTATATCCAGAGAGTACTGTGGACTCAAACAATGATGGATCTGGACCAAACTTGGCACAAATATTCAATATGCCCCAATGTGAACACTGCTGGAGTTGGTGGAAAATAGACCTTGACATTTGGGAGTTGTAGTTTCTGGGATTGATAGTTCGCCTACAATCAAGGAGCATTTTGAACCCCACCAATGATAGAATTGAGCCAAACTTCCCAACAGAAGCACCACGACCAACAGAAAATACTGTGTTTTCTTTGGTGACCCCTCTGACACCTCCTCACGACCCCCCCCCCGGGGTCCCGACCCCCAGGTTGAGAATCGCTGCTCTAGATGTTAGCTGTTCTGGTGACGCCTCTGAGACCCCCTCATGACCCCCCAGGGGTCCCGACCCCCAGGTTGAGAACCACTGCTCTATATATTGGCTATTCTGATTGAGATGGATGGGAGTTACAGTCCAGGAATCTGTGAAGAACCACAAATTGTGCATTTCAGACTTGTCTCTCTTCACAAAAGTCTACTCTGAACTTTAGGTAAACAGTTCTAACTTAGGTCCTTGTAGGGAGAGGCCAGTTGGGCAGCTCTGCTCCCATTGAGCCCTATATGAGTCTGACTGCGTTTGTGCCGGCTGGTGGTCACTTCCTGTGTTGACTTTCATACAGTTCATCAGGTTGCAGAGCGAGTGGAGGCGTTGGGTCAGTTTGTGATGAAGACGCGAAGGACGTTGAAAGGCCATGGCAATAAAGTCCTCTGCATGGACTGGTGCAAAGATAAAAGAAGAATCGTCAGCTCTTCCCAGGTAAAGAGGTTCTTGACAAGACGACTTAGCCATTCAGGGGGAGGGAAGGAGAAGAGGTCCAACAGTGATCTTTGAAGAAGCTTCCCATTTCCTTGGTGAGGCTACAGAGAGAAAGCTTGGCTATGGGTACGTTGGGATGGTGGAATCGGAGTAGAGTTTTGTATGAAACCCTTCATCTAATGCCTTAGAGCTGTGATGGTGAACCTATGACACGCGTGTCAGCAGTGACACACATGGTTATTTTTGATGACACGGAGAAGTGCACCTTATAAGAGCCAATCTAATTCCATCCTTAAATTTGTAAAAGGCTCTACAAATTTAACATCTGCTCGTTTGAGCATTGTTCACTCCATAACTCAGCATGGAGTATACATTTTTCTTATTTAAACTATAAATATTGCAAAATTATGTTTTTCTCTCTCGAAGTGACACCCCACCCAAGTTATTCTCAGGTTTTTGGCATATTTTGACACACCAAGTGCAAAAGGTTGTTCATCACTGCCTTAGAGGAAGGGTTCAAATGTTTGCAGACAACACCAAATTGGGAGGGAGAGCCAACACTCCAGAAGACAGGAGAAGAATTCAAAATGATCTTCACAGATTAGAGAGATGATGGGTGTCGCACCTCAGGATAGATTCACCTTGCTCAGAACACCACACACACCAAGGCTGTAGGTTTTGTCGTTTATTAAAGAAAAGGCAAAGTCTTAAACACAAAAGCAAAGTTGCAAGAGTTCAATAGTCAAACAGGGTCTTAAATGTAAAGGCAGAGTTTCCAAAGTCCAAAGGCAAAGAACATGAAGCATAATGCCATAGATGGAGCGTACCTGGATTCCAGTAAGGCCTTCTTCGACAAGGTCCTCCATGACCTTCTGGCAAGGAAACTAGTCCAATGTGGGCTAGGCAAAACTACGGTGAGGTGGATCTGTAATTGGTTAAATGGACGAACCCAGAGGGTGCTTCTCCCAAAGGCTTTCTCTTCACCCTGGAAAGAAGTGACGAGTGGAGTGCTATCAGCAGGGTTCCCTCCTGGGCCCGGTCCTACTCAGGATCTTCATTCATGACTTAGATGAAGGGTTAGAAGGCAGGATCATCAAGTTTGCAGACGACACCAAATTGGGAGGGAGAGCCAATACTCCAGAGGAGAGGAGCAGGATTCAAAACGATCTTGACAGATTAGAGACTAAACTAACAAAATGAAGTTCCATCTGGACAAATGCAAGATACTCCACTTAAGCAGAAAAAAATGAAATGCAACGATACAGAATGGGGGACGATGCCTGGCTCGAGAGCAGTACGTGTGAAAAAGATCTTGGAGTCCTCGTGGACAACAAGTTAAACATGAGCCAACAATGTGATGTGGCGGCAAAAAAAGCCAATGGGATTTTGGCCTGCATTAATAGGAGCATAGTGTCTAGATCTAGGGAAGTAATGCTCCCCATTCTCTCTTCTGCCTTGGTCAGTAGGCATGGTTAGGTTCGGTCCAAATCTTCGTAATTTGGAATAAATTTGGAAAGATTTGCTTTTTGAAGCGATTTTGAAGTTTTTAAGGAAACCGGAAGTCCCTTTGCCCTTCTGAAGCTTTTTCTGATATTTCTGTTACGAGGCAGTAAGTGAGTCGGAAATTATTCAGTGTTTCCCGCTTCTGGTCCCTGGCCTCGGCTCAAGCCTGGGAAGCATTTTAAAACCGAGTGGCTGACTTTCTTCCCCCCCCCCCCCCACTTCTGGAGTAAAACAACTATTTTCAAAGTAAAGACCACCCAATGAAACAGGAAATAATACTTTCAAACCATTAAGGAAGGATTTGGAAGTTTTGAAAAGGTTTGAACATTTTTTTCTGTGAAAATCGGAATGGACTTTAGAACTGAACCACCAGCGCCCCTATATCACAAATGTGTTTTGAACCAATTTTTTTTTTTGGGATTAAACAAGCCTATTGGTCAGACCACACCTGGAATCACTGAGTCCAATTCTGGGCACCACAATTGAAGGGAGATATTGACAAGCTGGAATGTGTCCAAAGGAGGGTGACTAAAACGATCAAGGGTATGGAGAACAAGCCCTATGAGGAGTGGCTTAAAGAGCTGGGCATGTTTATCCTGAAAAAGAGAAGGCTGAGAGGAGACATGATGAGAGCCATGTACAAATATGTGAGAGAAAGTCATAGGGAGGAGGAAGCAGATCAAAGGTTTGGAGAACAAGCCCTATGAGGAGCGGCTTAAAGAGCTGGGCATGTTTATCCTGAAAAAGAGAAGGCTGAGAGGAGACATGATGAGAGCCATGTACAAATATGTGAGAGGAAGTCATAGGGAGGAGGGAGCAGATCAAAGGTTTGGAGAACAAGCCCTATGAGGAGCGGCTTAAAGAGCTAGGCAGGTTTAGCCTGAAGAAGAGAAGGCTGAGAGGAGACATGATGGAGGGCCATGTATAAATATGTGAGGGAAAGTCATAGGGAGGAGGGAGCAAGCTTCTTTCCTGCTGCCCTGGAGACTAGGACACGGAGCAATGGCTTCAAACTAAAGAAAGGAGGTTCCACCTGAACTTTAGGAAGCTGTTCAGCAGTGGAACTCTCTGCCCCAGAGTGTGGTGGAGGCTCCTTCTTTGGAGGCTTTTAAACAGAGGCTGGATGGTCATCTGTCAGGGTGCTTTGAATGCAATTTCCCTGCTTCTTGGCAGAATGAGGTTGGACTGGATGACGGCCTTCCAGGTCTCCTCCAACTTTAGGATTCTGTAGGGGTGGTAACTCTTCCCTATACTATCCATAGATAGATGGATGGATGAACTTTCTAACTGTGAGAGCTGTTCAGCAGTGGAACTCTCTACCCCGGAGTGTGGTGGAGGCTCCTCCTTTGGAGGCTTTGAAGTAGAGGCTGGATGGCCATCTGTCGAGGGTGCTTTGAATGCAATATTCCTGCTTCTTGGCAGAATGGGGTTGGACTGGATGATGGTCCACCAGGTCTCCTCCAACTCTAGGATTCTATGAAAGTACCAGAGCTCCATGGCAATGTTTTATGGGGGTTTCTGAGAATTGTAGTCCAAGAGGGCATCCTCTCCCACATCTCTGGTTTGGACCATGAAGATGCTTCTGATGCCAGAAACCTTTTCCTGGTCTGAACATGTGTTCCAAGGCCAGCTTGTTCTTTAATTTTTGATAAGCTCTCCTTTGCTTCGGAAATTCATGTGTCCTTCTTTCCCCCCCTTACTATAGGATGGGAAGGTGATTGTTTGGGATGGCTTCACTACCAATAAGGTGAGCTCTTTGGCAGAACATGTCCTTTGAGGCAGAATTGATGTATTTGATATACAGTAGAGTCTTGCTTCTCCAACCTTCGCTCATCCAACGTTCTGTATTATCCAATGCACTTTGCCTCCCGCCCGGTTCCAATGCATTGCGATGTTTTGGTGCTAAATTCGTAAATACAGTAGTTACTACATAGCGTTATCGTATATTGAACTGTTTTTTCTGTTGATTTGTTGTAAAACATGATGCTTTGGTGCCTAATTTGTAAAATCATAATGTACCGTATATACTTGAGTATAAGCCGACCCGAATATAAGCCGAGGCACCTAATTTTATCACAAAAAACTGGGAAAATGTATTGACTCAAGTATAAGCCGAGGGTGGGAAATGCATCCGCTATGGGTTAATTTCAAAATAGAAAATAGATACCAATAAAATTACATTAATTGGGGCATCAATAGGCTAAATGTTTCTGAATATTTACATAAAACTGTAATTTAAGATAAGACTGTCCAGTTCTGATTCAACCATCATTCTAACCTCTTTCAATGTAAATATGCTTGCGTATTATTCCAATAATAATAAGTAGAGTAAAATCATAATAGTAATAATAATAATAATAATAATAATAGAGTAAAATAATAAATGTAATAATAACAATACAGTAAAATAAAATATGTAATAATAACAATAATGGAGTAAAATAATAATAGTAATAATAATAAATAGAGTGAAATAATAATAATAGTAATAATAATAATAGAGTAAAATAATAAATGTAATAATAACAATAATAGAGTAAAATAATAAATGTAATAACAACAATAATAAAGTAAAACAACAACAACAATAACAACAACAAAGTAAAATAATAAATAACCTTGACTCAAGTATAAGCCAGGGGTGGGAAATGCAGCATTTACAGGTCAATTTCAAAATAAAAATAGATACCAATAAAATTACATTAATTGAGGCATCGATAGGCTAAATGTTTCTGAATATTTACATAAAACTGTAATTTAAGATAAGACTGTCCAACTCTTATTAAACCATTATTCTAACCTCCTTCAATGTAAATGTACTTATTATTAAAATAATAAATATAATAAAAATAATAGAGTAAAATAATGAAATAAAAACAGTAATAATAGAGTAAAATAATAAATGCAGTAGTAATAGGGTAACATACTGTAAATGTAATAATAATAATAATTAGATTAAATTAATAAATGTAATAATAATAATAATAGGGTAAAATACTGTAAATGTAATAATAATACTAGAGCAAAATAATAAATAGAATAATAATAGAGCAAAATAATGTAAATATAATAAATGAGTAAAATAATAAATGTAGTAATAATATACCAATAACAGAGTAAAAGAATAAATAACCTTGACTCGAGTATAAGCCGAGGGGAGCTTTTTCAGCCTAAAAAGGGGCTGAAAAACTAGGCTTATACTCGAGTATATACAGTAAATCTTATTTAATAGGCTTTTCCTTAGTCCCTCCTCATTGTCGCTTATTATATTGGTTTTGCATTTTATGTATTTTATTTTCTGGTTTTGTTATGTTTTTGTGTTATATTGTGTGTACTGTACTGGTGGGTGTGGCCTCATGTAAGCCGCACCAAGTCCCCCTAATTATTATTATTATCCAACATTTTCACTTATCCAACGTTCTGCCGACCTGTCTACGTTGGAAAAGTGAGACTCTACTCTAATTGTCATTCATGGCTGGAATTACTGGGTTGTTGTAGGTTTTTCAGGCTATATGGCCATGTTCTAGAAGCATTCTCTCTTGACGTTTTGCCTGCATCTATGGCAAACATCCTCAGAGGTTGAGGATGCTTGCCATAGATGCAGGCAAAACTTCAGGAGCGAATGCTTCTAGAACATGGCCGTACAGCCTGAAAAACCTACAACAACCTCTACTGTAATTGTCAAATGGGCTCAGGAGATTGAAGGGATCCTTTGTGTTTCAGGAACATGCCGTGACCATGCCTTGTACTTGGGTGATGGCGTGTGCCTATGCCCCGTCAGGATGCGCCATCGCTTGTGGGTAAGTTGGAAGCATCTTCAATAAAGGAAATGGAATCTTTTTGTTTTGACTAATTAAAACAAACGTTAGTCTTGTGCACCATACTTTCTGACACCTGACTTGGCCATGGTAGTCCATGCCTTAGTCACGTCCTGTTAGGACTACTGCAATGCTCTCTACATGGGGCTGCCTTTGGAGATAGTTCAGAAGCTTCAAATAGTGCAGAGATTGGCAGCTGGGTTACTAACTGGAGCACCATTCAAGGAGAGAACCACCCCCATGTTGCGGCAGCTCCACTGGCTGCCAGTCTGCTTCCGAACTAAATATAAAGTGCTGGTTCTTACCTTTAAAGCCCTAAACGGCCGAGGTCTAGACTATTTGACAAACTGCATCTCCCTCTATAGACCAGCTCGGACACTGTGATCATCAGAGGAGGTCCTCCTCTCATTTCCGCCCCCATCCCAAGCATGGCTAGTGGGAATGAAAGGCAGGGCCTTTTTTGTGGCTGCCCCCCACCTTTGGAACTCCTTTCCTAAGGAGTTAAAGATGGCCCCCTCCCTCCCTGCTTTTAAGAAAAGTGGAAGACATACCTTTGCTCACTGGCTTACGAGAAGGAGGAAGAATAGTAGTTGGTAATACCACCATTATACCTCTGATTAATAGTTGCCATTCAGGAGAGCTTTTGCACAATTAAAACTTGTGTGCCAGCTGCGTACGTTGGGAAGTCTGATGTGGCCACAGTGGTCCACGCTCTCATTACATCCCGTATAGACTACTGCAACGTTCTCTACATGGGGCTGCCTTTGAAGACTGTTCGGAAACTTCAACTAGTCCAACGGGCGGCAGCTAGACTACTCACCCGAGCATCTTGCAGGGAGCATACCACCCCTCTGTTATGTCAGCTCCACTGGCTGCCGATCCAGTTCCAAGCACAATTCAAAGTGTTGGTCTTGACCTATAAAACCCTATACGGCTCCGGACCAGCATACCTCTCCGAAGGTATCTCCTTCTACATCCTGCCTAGGAATTTAAGATCTCCTGAAGAGGCCCTGTTCTCGGACCTGCCCTTGTCACAAACGAGACTTGCGGGGACGAGGGACAGGGCCTTCTCAGTTGTGGCCCCCCGCCTGTGGAATTCACTCCCCGGGGAAATTAGATCATCGTCATCCCTCCTCTCTTTTAGGAGGAAATAAAAACATGGATATGGGACCAGGCCTTTGGGTAATCTGGCAGACTGACGAGGACAATGACGACAAGAGATTATGATAAGCTGAATGGAATCACTAATTACAAAACTCGGCAAAACGATGGCCACCAGGCTGGCTTCTTTTCTAGTCGATTTTATTGTATTAACCTAATGTTTTAATTATTTATAATTACTGTTTGTTGTGTATTGTACTGTGTTGAATTGTAGACATTGAATATGTGCCGGCTGGAAGCCGCCCTGAGTCCCCCCCCCCCCGGGGTTGAGAAGGGCGGGGTAAAAATACCCGAAATAAATAAAATAAAATAAATAACTAAATAGGAAGTAGAAGGCCATATTCAACAATGTCAGGGGCTGAGCTAGAACTGGCCATTCTCAAAGGCTTGTTGAAACCACCAGGTCTTCAAGCTCTTACAAAAGGAGGGGAGGAATGGGGCCTGTCTTATTTCCTTTGGAAGGGCGTTCCAGAGATGGGGGACCACCACCGAGAAGGCCCTCTCTCTCGTCCACACCAACCGTGCTTGTGAGAAAATGAGAGGAAGGTCGCATTGTATTATTGGGGGTAAGCAAAGGAAGAGGGAACTAGAGGGTGTGTGGCATTTGGATCCGAGCGAGCCAAATCAAACACGGTTTGTGGCCTTTCTAGCATATGCTGCAGAAATAAAAGCTGCAAAGAAATCTTTCTTTGCGGCCAATATTGCGTCCGCTAAGAACTGTCCGGCGGAGCTGTTTTGAGTTGTCGGAGGCCTATTAAATCCCAACACTTAGGATGGGAACACTGACAACTCAATAGCCCACTGTGAAGCATTTACTCGGTTTTTCGTGGACAAAGTTGCTTTGATCCATTCTGTTCTGGACACCATGTTAATGGCAGTCTCTGAGAATGTAACACGAGCATCTGCTTTGATGGATTCATTTCAATTGGTGAAATGTGGACAAGATACTTGGAGGAATGAGAGTGACCACATGCATCCTAGACCCCTGCTCCACTGGCTACCAGTTTGCTACTGGGCCCAATTCAAAGTGCTGGCTTTGGCCTATAAAGCCCTAAATGGTTCTGGCCCAACTTACCTGTCRGAACGTATCTCCCCTTATGAACCACTGAGGACTTTAAGATCATCTGGGGAGGCCCTGCTTTCGGTCCCGCCTTCGTCACAAACACGTTTGGRGGGGACGAGAGACAGGGCCTTCTCAGTGGTGGCCCTTCGGCTATGGAACGTCCTCRCTAGGGAGATCAGATCTGCTCCCTCCTTTTTGACGTTTTGGAGGCAAGTTAAAACGTGGCCATTCAAGCAAGCATTTACAAATACAGAGTAGCTAATARAGGAAATCGAATGACCTGACAATGGAACTGGACAATGCTTGAGAATAATGAGACGCTGATGAGGTTGTTTTTACTGCTTTTGTGATGTTTTATACTGTTTAATGTTTTTTATCTATATTATGTTTTATGTATACTGATTTGTTGGAAACCGCCTTGAGTCGCCGATTGGCTGAGAAAGGCAGTATATAAATATAGCAGATAAATAAATAAATAAACTGATCCCTTTTTTGGGCCATAAATCTTAGAATCCCTGAGGTACCATAGGAATTTCATTTCAAGACAGGAACTTACCCAATTCTCTACCCTAAAGTTCCTAAGTGAGTAAGGAGTCCCCATCGGGGAGATGGTGGCAGGGTATAAATAAAGTTTATTATTATTATTATTATTATTATTATTATTATTATGAAGATGGGGAGCCCACCATTTGGAAGAGAGGTGACGAACACTGTGATTCATATTACTCTGGTTGTTTTATGAAAGTAATGCTTTTAAGGTTTCTTCCCGTTACTGTTTTTTAACTTCAGAGGTCTAGACAACAAATGCTCTGTGTACCCACTCACATTTGAAAAAAATGAGAATATGGCAGCCAAGAAGAAATCGGTCGCCATGCATACCAACTACCTGTCAGCTTGCAGCTTCACTAATTCAGACATGCAGGTAAGTTTTTTGGAGTTGTTCTGTATATTTTTATACGAGGGGTGTTCAAAATGTTTCTGCACTTTCATGACTTTATTGGAAACGGTGAGGGCGGGAGGAGGAGTAGTTGGTTGCGTCATGTGACCCGTCTGTCTGGCAAGCTAGCTGAACTTGAAATTTATTTATAGTATTTATATTTACAGTATTTATATTCCACCCTTCTCATTCTAACACTTCAGAGTGTTAGAATGTTGAGGCTGGCCAATCAGAAATTATATGCAAATAACACCGCAGTGGCAACCAATCACCATTTCTGACAGCCTCAGGCCGTTGCCTTTTCCCTCTATGCTACCTCAGAGTGTTGGAATGTTGAGGTTGGCCAATCAGAGACCACATGCAAATTATACCACAGTGGCAGCCAATCAGAACGCTGCCACATACATGCACTGCCTGCCCTCCCTCCCTTCCTCTGCATACAAACATTGTCTTTTATTATATATATAGAGATTTATTTACAGTATTTATATTCCGCCCTTCTCACCCCACAGGGGATTCAGGCCTGATCACAACGCATACATACATGGCAAACATTCAATGCCATAGACACACAACATATATAGACAGAGACACAGAGGCAATTTAGCTTTCCAGGTTCATGCTTTTTGAATTCCGGCCACCAGGGGAGCTGTTGCTTCACCATCCACTTGTGACACCGATGAAGTACTTCCTCGTCCTTTTGAACGCTGCTGGAGGGTTTTATGGCATCGTAAATTAGTTAAATTAGCCTCCCTGCATAAGCGGTACCTAAATCCGGTCACCGGGGGAGCTGTTGCTTCTCCATCCACTTGTGACACCGATGGAGTACTTCCTCATTCTTTTGCATGCTGCTGGAGGGTTTTATGGCAATGTAAATTAGTTAAATTAGTTAAATTAGCCTCCCTGGAAAAAGACTATTTTCTTTGAGATCCATAGCGTAAGTATATTTTGATTTCTTAGTCCATATTTGTTCCCATTCCTTTAAGTGAATGGGTCTTCCAATATTCTCTGCCCACCTAATCATGCAGTTCTTTAACTGAAAAAGTTAATTACCATGATGTATAACCAACTGCTGGATTGGTATACAGAAACTGAGGTGGTACCTAATTTTCCTGCTTGATAAATGCAACTGTCTTTTGGCTTGCAAAGGTCAACAACAAGCTACACAATTGGCCAGAATCTCACTCCGACCTGGGCTGGCTTCGAACTCATGACCTTTTGGTCAGAAGTGATCTTAATGCAGCCGACTCCCAGTGGTGCCACAGTCTCGGTCTATATATACACATATACACAATTATATACACACACAAAACAGATATACACAGACTGGGCCACAGCAATGCATGGCAGAGGACAGCTAGTAAGTAAATAAATAAATAGTCCAAATTTAGTGCCATTTTTAGACTGCTCGGGGAAGCTTAAAGAAGAAGATTTTCATATGGCAATGACATGAAAACAGCAGTGCGCCTAGCTACACACTCAATCGAAAACATTTTGTATTGATGTCATTAAAAAGTTGGTAAAATACATTGCAAAGGAAGGTGACTATGTAGAAAAATTTGGTTTTTGAAAGTCTTAAGAAATAGAGATTTTAAAAATGCGGAAACTTATTGAAGAACTTCTCCTTTACATATGCATTGCTAAATTTAAACCTTTTAGTACACCTTAACTAAATCACAGAGCGATTACAACAAACACGATAAGACACCAAGGAACTCTTGACATCCCTCAACTGTCGTGAAAAAGAAAAACAAGTTAAGTAAAAATATATTAGAGATCTAACACAATTCAGTTTGCTCGTTCCTAATAACCATTATCACAGAGGGTTGCTCAGAAAGGCCACAAAGGGTTCCCAGTTGTCCTTGTTTTCCTGTTGTTGATGCACGTCAACACCCACGGGGAAGATTGGAGTTGCCGTCTGTCAAACTTTGGGGGGCAATGGGGACCCACGTTGCGATAAATGCAGTTCAAATTATAGGGGGAATGGACAATAGGGTCCCATTCCTTGCTTTGGTTTTATAATTGCCTTCTGCCTAATTATGAGATCTCACCCTCGGCTGAAAACGTTCCTCAAAAAGTGAGGAGTTATTTTAATTTTTTGGGCGGGGGGGAAACGAGAACAGGTTTATGCCTATACTCAAGCTCTTCCTAAGGAAACATCATCTCTGAGTGATTCTATTCTGGGACGCCAGGAGCTGCGAAGTAAGCTATTATTTCCCCATTCTGCGGTTTCCCATAATGAACCTGAGATGATAATGATGCACGTCTGTTGCCCTGGAAACCGGAGTGGGAAAAATCTACCTGTGGTGCCCGAGTGTGCCAAATGCTTGCTTTTCAAAGCAGGGCGTAATTTCAGCAAACACAGCGTCTCGTTTTGAATTCCTCTTCCTTCCATCGCAAATAATGCGCGCTGGTGACCCCGCCGCCTCCAGCTTGACATTTTGCAGCCACATTGTGCCGGTGTCCAAACCATCAGGTCAAAGCACTTATGCAGGAAATGGCTGGCAAACTCACACCTGGATGCCAAGGAAAAAAAATCTCTTTTAAGTGAGAGCGTTTCAAAATTTGAGACGTGCGGGTGAGAGTAAAATGATGGCCTGTTGAGTTTGAAGAGAAAAGAAAAATGGAAATTGTGTTTGGCTCAGCAGCGTTGTTCTTGGTGTCCTCTCCTGTTCAGAATGTGTCTAGAATGGTGCAATATACTTACTTAGGTGATTCCTCGTAGTCCGAGTAGGATCGGTGTCCTGGCGGTGGGTCCGTAGTTGGCTGTGGAGCCCTATTCTTGACCTGCATCGTCTCCCGCAGTGAGGGCATTGGTTTCCAGGTGGTCCCGGTCAGGGTTGGCTTGATGCGCCTTCCTCTTGGCATGTTTCTCCCTTTCGTCCTCCATTTGTGCCTCTGCAAATTCTACAGCACTGCTGGTCACAGCTGACCTCCAGCTGGAGCACTCAAGGGCCAGGGCTTCCCAGTTCTCGGTGTCTATGCCAGAGTTTTTAAGGTTGTCTTTGAGCCCATCTTTCTATCTCTTTTCCTGTCCTCCAACATTCCTTTTTCCGTTCTTGAGTTCGGAGTAGAGCAACTGCTTTGGGAGACGGTGGTCGGGCATCCGGACAACGTGGCCGGTCCAGCGGAGTTGATGGCGGAGGACCATCACTTCAATGCTGGTGGTCTTTGCTTCTTCCAGCACGCTGACATTTATCCGCCTGTCTTCCCAAGAGATTTGTAGGATTTTTCGGAGGCAGCACTGATGGAATCGTTCTAGGAGTTGCATGTGATGTCTGTAGACAGTCCACGTCTCATAGGCATATAGCAGGTTTGAGAGGACAATGGCTTTATAAACAAGCACCTTGATATCCCTACGGATGTCCCGGTCCTCAAACACTCTCTGCTTAATTCGGAAGAATGCTGCACTCGCAGAGCTCAGGCAGTGTTGTATTTCTGTAGACAGTCTGTAGATAATCCAAGTCTCACATGTGTATAGCAGAGTTGGGAGGACGATATCTTTATAAGCAAGCACCTTGATCTCCCTACGGATGTCCCGGTCCTCAAACACTCTCTCCTTCATTTGCAAAAATGCTGCACTCGCAGAGCTCAGGCAGTGTTGTATTTCAGTGTCAGTATTGACTTTGGTGGAGAGGTGGCTGCCAAGGGAGCGGAAATGGTCCACATTTTCTAATGTTACACCATTAAGCTGTATTTCTGGCATTTCAGAGGGATTCCTTTGATAGAGGCTTTTGGAGAAAATGCTTGAGGAAAAAGAGGAGGCATGGGCAAACTTTTAACTTGGGGGGCCACATGGGAGGCAAGTCCCCTCCCTGCCCTTCCCTTCTCTTTCAGAAGCAGAAAGAAAAGAAAAGACGGAAAATGTTTGGATACAAAAGGGTTGGCCTAGGTCAGGATAAGAAGGCGGACGGGAGAGAAAAAGTGAACAGAGAACTCCCATGATCAACAGAACATACTGGAGTTGTAGTTCACCTACCTCCAGAGAGCACTGTGGACTCAAACGATGATGGACGTGGACCAAACTTGGCATGAATACTTGATATTTATTTATTTATGAGGGTTGAATGAAAAGTAATGCCTCCAACCTCATAACTCCTCAAGAGATGGCAGTACAGGTATGCTGCAGGTACTGGCTTGTTCAGTAGACTTTCCTTTACAACTCCATTTTGGCGGAAGCCTTAGCATTGAACAGTTGTGTTGTTAGAGTGCAAAGTATGGAATCCTGTGCAGACAGTCGGACAGTGCGACTTAAGCAACGTGCAGTCATTGAATTCTTGACAGCAGAAGGTATCACCCCAAAGGAGATTCATCAGAGAATGCAAGCTGTTTATGGTGATTGTGTTGATGTGAGTACTGTGCGTTGTTGGGCAAGCAAGTTTAAGATGTTGAGGTGGGAACATCTGACTTGCGTGACAAACAAAGAGTTGGACGTCCTATGACAACAACCACCGAGTTTCACAAGCAAAAGGTTGACAGATTGATTCAGGACAATCGTCGTATCACTCAGAGAGAAATTTCAAGCATAATTGACATTTCACAAGAATGTGTGGGTCACTTTATTGCTTTGCTTGGTTATCGGAAGATCTATGCACGATGGGGACCCAGGATGAGAGAATGGTGAGACACTGTTTGCAGAGACAGAGTGTTGACTTCTTCCGTGACAGCTTCAGAAAACTTGTTCATCCTCGGCAGAAATGTATCCAATTGTCTGGTGATGATATGGAAAAGTGAATAGTGGTATATTTTATATATATATATACACACACACACACACACACACACACACACACATATACATACATACATATATACACACACACACATACACATATACATACACATACATACATACATACACATACATACATACATACAGTATTTATATTCCGCCTTCTCACCCTGCAGGGGAATAGGGCGGATTACAATGTACATATACATGGCAAACATTCAATGCCATAGACACGCAACATATATAGACAGAC